TTGTTCTGTTGGCACTAGACGTCAGGCTACATTCTTGCTTTTGCCGCTGTTGATGTTGTGTAGTTCATAGTTGTTTTGGAACAGGGCCTCATGGGAACATTCAAAGTATGCCTTTTCATTTTAAAATTTTTCCAATTAAATTAGTTTATTGTTTCCACAGTTTTATCTTCAGACAGGAGAAGTATTTTGATATATTGTTCAGATAAACATTCTGACTGCTGGGTTTGTATGCTGAGGTTCTTCCCCTCTATGAAAGTCAGCACTGATGCAGGGGGTCTCTGTCTTTCTGGCTGGGCTGCCTGAGGTTGCAGGACATCAGAGAAATGCATATAGCTTAATTTTCTGAAATAGCAACTTTGGGGCAGCTTTATCAGGGGTAGTAGATGTAAGTTAAACGTATCTCTTGGGTTAAGGCAAGGCAGGGAACTGAATTTGTCCTCACCTGTTTGGTGACCTCCCTGGCTGTTTACATTTTTGCAAACCTACCTCTTTATTTCAGTAAGTGACTGTCTCTGAGCTGCTGGGGTAGAAGTTGCATGAGGGGAAAGGGGAGGTGTACTAAGCAAATGTATGCAGTTTCAACATGTCCACACTGGGTTTTTGGTTATTTTTCCTAATGTTTCCAGTACGTGATGTAAATGCTGTAGAAAAGCCTTGTTACCTGCATATATATATTAACATTTAATTGCTGGGGATAGCACAGAGTTCTAGAAGGCATCCTGTAAACAGCCAGATCCTTATGTGAAGCAGGGGGACAGTAACAAGGAATGCTGTAGCTATGCTGCTTCTGAACTAGAATAGAAATATGTTCTCACAAAACTTACACCACTATAATTAATTCAGATTTTTCAGGTTTTGTTTGGTGGTTTTGTGGTTTTTTTTGTTTGTTTTATTTCTTTTTTTTTTTTTTAGGAAGGTTGATCAGAGCCTGATATGCAGCTGGTGTGCAGCCAAGCAGTTTACACTGATAGGAGAAAAAAAAAAAAGGCACTAGAAAAAAATACTGTGTGATGGACAAGCCCTAGGATTAGAACTGTAACACTGTTACTGGCTTTAGGAGAGAGCAGGAAGGATAAATGCTGTGGTGCTGCTGTAGAATAGAAGCCTGTTTTGGAAGGCAGAGAAATCTGCTTATAGGGCTGTATAAAAGATACAGTTTTATCACAGTTTCTGTTGTTGCTCAGCACAGATGCATTGAGTTTGAATTTAAATTAAAAAAAAAAATCAATAATTGTGACCAAAAATAATATGTGAGCCTGAAGTCTTTACTGGAGTGTTTCGGTTCTGTTCAGCAATGAGAAATAGGAAAATCAGTTTATCTTTCTCCCATTTCTGATGTTCACTACCTTTTGAGGCTGTTGTTCCGAATTGTTGCTTGAGAACTTCTTAAAAAATAGGTGCATTTGAACTATTTTTAGTTAATTAACTTCTTACGAAAAATACAAAAGTCTTCCCCCCCAGGACACCTCTTCTCAGGTTCTATCTTGTTTAAGTTGAGCCAACAGATAAATATCAAAAGCTTTTTCTCAGCTTGTATTTTCCTTTAGAAGCTGCTGTTGCTTTTATGTCAAACTAAAGAATGGCTTGTGCTTTGATCCTTGACTCTTTTCTAAATATATCAGTTTGAAAAAAGATAAATTACCAGAGCAAACTATAAGAACCAAAATCCTTGCAAGCCACCCAACCATCTATTTTGACAGAAGTGGAAATCCATTTTGGCTTTTATAATGCCACGAGGTGTCACTATCCGTTAGCCAGATGCCAGCAACTCTCTTCCTTGCTGTGGGAGCTTGTTGTTTCAGCCTCAGCATTCAAGCTACACACGATACTTCTGTTGTGTATATTTTGGGGGCGATGCTGTTTTGAATGTTAAATAATAATATAAATCCTGATATAAGTTTAATTGAGGCAGTTGCTCAAAAATGTGTGAAATTTATATCTGGTCTTATTTGAGACCATTGATAAATTGCCCAAAACTCAGTTTGTAGTGCTATTTGTATCCTATACTTCCTTTTTAACGGCTTGTTATGTGACCCTTGGTACAAAAGAAAACTTACTATTTTCTATCAAAAATAACTTGTTAATTTTTTTTTCCTGTTTAGGGAGATATTTGTGAACCTGATTTTATAAAACAGCTCTTTGAAACTGAGAAAATAGATATAGTCCTTCATTTTGCAGCCCAAACACATGTAGGTGAGCATTGTTTCATGTTTTGGTATTTTCCATGAATATATTTGTTTGAAATATATATGGATTTTTTTTGTCTTTTCCTTTCACTTAAAACAAGGATAGAGCTTGTCTCTACAAACTACATGATTCACCTCTCTGACTTGAAGGGTTTCACAACCTGAAGTTAAAAAGTGCTTCATCTGACTTGCCTATTTTCATTGCACATAAATGGTAATGCCTGTTTTTGGGTTTGTTTGTTTGTTTTCATTACACTTAAATTCCATCTAGACACACATGTAACTGACAATGTACTGGTGGAGTCATGAAGACAATGGACAAAGAGTTTGTACATAGTCTTAAGTTTTTACTTGACTGGCTCCAGCCTTTCAGGAAAAAACAGAGCGTGGAAGCTGAAGCATGAGGCACAGCTCCCTTCAGAATCCTCCCTGTTTCAGATTACCACTCCTCAGTAACACTGCTAATGAGAACTATCCCTACCACACTCCTTTCATCATGGGAAGAAATCCTGGAAGAATTCTCTGGGAAAATACTTCTCAGAATTGTCAGATTTGATATGCACAAAGTCATTAGGTCAGTGGGACAGTTCTAAGAATTAAAACAGGTGCTAGTAAATTAACAGTAATAAGTATATATTACTGCATCTTACAACTGGTTTTGAGTTATACTTTTCTTGCTGAGCTTGACCCTTCCTAGTGCAGAGGGGAAGCGGTTATGCTACCACTTAAATATTTAAGTTAGATAATGCTATTTCAGATGGAACTGTCCATAGCCAACAGACTTTTGCTCCTGCTTCCAACCTTTTGTTGATGGCAAGGATTTTGTCTTCGAGGTGGAGAGGGGAAGTGGTTATGCTGCCACTTAAATAAAGTTACATAATGCTATTTCAGATGGAACTGTTCATAGCCAACAGACTTTTGCTCCTGCTTCCAGCCTTTTGTTGATGGCAAGGATTTTGTCTTCGAGTAAGTGTAGAAAGTGTCTTCATTTAATAATGACCTTGGTATCTGGCAAAGAACTAGTGATAATATGCCAGTCCATATTGCAGCCTCTGATACTGTGGTTTGATAGGAAGCCATGTCTTGCCTCAATTTCATCAGAATTGTCTGATTTTTAAATTTTTTTTTTTTAATGTAGATCTTTCATTTTGGCATGCCCTGGAATTCACCTATGTGAACGTTTATGGCACTAATGTGCTGGTTGCTGCTGCGCATGAAGCCAACGTGGAGAAGTTTGTCTATGTTAGTACAGATGAAGTGTACGGAGGCAGCACTGATGAGGTGAGTTTGAAAGTGTGTGAGCATTTTTCTAGCTTTGCTTGCTTTTAATGAGTCTTAACTTTCCTTGGCCTCTGTAAGTGTGTGACTTCTGAGCTATTTCTGACAATACTGGAACTTGTAGACAAGCACTGGTTGTTTCTAGAAAGCTAAGAATCAAAATTGTCCTGAAATGTTTTTTGTAGCATGTTTTACATTGAACACATATCGCCTAAAGCAGTGAGATGGGGTCATTGATGACATCTGAATGCTCCTCAGAGATAGTATCAAAGGAATGTATTATACAAATTTTGCCTTGGAGCATTCATGAGACACCAGTAATGCGCACAGTATGTTCTTTTTTCTTTCCTTTTTAAAAAACTTTTTTTCTGCTCTGCCTTGACTATAAACTTGACAGGCAGAGAGCTAATTTTATACTCTAGCTAAAATACTAACAGAACTGTAGGTACTGACAATTCAAACAGGAAACAGTTCCTGTAGTACTGGAAGAAATATGCAGATATTTCTTGTTGTTCTATGGAAATCTTTCTGATTCTTGGCAAGTTATGCCTGACCTTAATTCAGGAAATGTAATTTAGCTCACTAAAAAGAGAAATTATGCATGCTTGTCTTTCTAAAATTGTAAATAACAGCCAAGGAGTCTTGTGCCATAGTCCATGAAAATATTAATGTATTTCAGAAGTCATGTGCACTTTCTTATTGTTGTGATGTCTTTATCAATTCCTTCAACACAGCGTTAATCTGTAGACTTTTATGATGAAAACCCAAGGATGCTGTTTTCCTGCATGTAGATCAGTGATTTGGCTGAGATAAGTTCAAGTGAACAACTTCTGCCTCTGGGCCTTGGAAAGAGCACTTCCATTTAGTCTGGTTTTTGGTCTCTTTGTGAATCATAGTAGAAGTTCTTGAAGAGGTTTTTTCATTGAGAGGAGGTCAAAAAGTAAATCAGGGTCAAATTTCTGAGGCAAAGGTCAGAAGAGCAGTGAGTCTTATAATCACATGTTAAGGTGGTTGTTATGAATTGCACCTCAGGCAAGGTAGAATCCCTTCTTCCTTTGGTTAATTTTTGTAATTTTTTTTTTTTTTTTCTCTCCAAGGATGAAGTAAATAAAGTGGCAGAGTAGCCATGAAGCTACCTGTTCTGGAACAAGTCAGAATTGTTGAAGACTTGCTTTGGAGGGCTTTGGGTTGAAAATTCTACTTTTCTTTTAGAAATAAAGTTTATAAGAAAGGGAGAATGGACCCCTCTTATTCAGAACTGAAAGGTCGATTTGCTAACAGTGGTGCAATGGTGCTCTGAGGCCATATGACCCTGAAAAGGTTTGAACCTCCCTGTGGCAACAGTGATTATTTTACAAGATAAAAATCTAAGGATCTGCTGCTGTGAGGTACTCTGCTAGAAGTATAAAAATATTACTGCTGGTGTTCTGGCCACCTCCTGTGTTTGATAAATAGACTGTCTTGTTATTGGTCTTCTGCTGCAAGTGGAAGGGTGACTTTGTCAGGCTGGTGTGCTTGGATATTTAGGGATTTTTATTTCAGTTGTAACTGCAGCTTTTGTGATTTAAGACTTATCTGGGCAAAAGACATGCAATTTTTTCTTTTCATTTTAGGAATTTGATGAATCCTCGCCAAAACGTCCAACAAATCCCTATGCCTCCTCTAAAGCAGCTGCAGAGTGTTTTGTTCAGTCTTACTGGGAAAGGTACCAAGTAAGTTGCTGCAAGCTTCAAAAACTCTGAAGCCCATACTTAAGTGTCTGTATTATGTATATAAAAGTATCTTAAAAAAAATAAAATCAGTACTAGTCCACATGGTGCCACCTCTTTCCTGATGGCTACTGTTGTAGTTTGGATGTGTTGAAGGATGTCTGCCAATTATTGGTGGGGACACATTGCAAGACAGTGGGGAGAGGTGAAATGTTTTAATTTTTTTTTAAAAATGTGAACTTAACATCTAAAAATGTTCTTTGATAAAATGGTCAAAGAGAACACTAGCAATTTAGAAAGACAAACTTGAAGGAAATATGTTTATACAGAAGTAGAATATGCAAAATTCAAATTGTGCTAAGACTAGGCTTATTGAAAGAAAAAAAGAAAAAAAAACCCCTATTGCTCAGATTTGTTTAAGCAAAAATATTTAGATGTTTCAGTACTTTAGTCTTTTGCCCTTGACATGTCCTTCTGCAAAGTTGTTTTTGACATAAAGTTGCCTTGAATAAGATGTCAATGGCTGTGAGACATTTTCTTGGAATAAGAAGTAGGAAGCCAGTCTTCAGTCAGCCAGATACACGTACGTAACGTCCTGTGGTGGTTCCACAGCAAGACTGCGAGGTGACAAACGTGTGTCAGTTGTGGTGCTTCTAACAGACTGAGGAGGCTGGAGGCACTTCCCTGTTTGACAGAGGTGTAGATGGCTTAATTCATTAATGTTAGTAAGGGCTTAGAGACTTTTGAATAAGCCCTGTGGGTGTGTCAGTTTATTATTTATTGATTGGCAAGACACCTACAGATTTTTACTGATATGTATTTCCTTATGTAAACACATGCATGTTTAATGCTCTTCAGTTCCCAGTTGTCATCACACGGAGCAGTAATGTTTATGGACCACACCAGTATCCAGAAAAAGTAAGTTAAACCTAAGCTTTACTCTGAGCTTCCATATACCATAATTCAGGGTTACAGTGATGTTACTTTTTTCTCATAAGAATGGACTGTCTCTGGAAAAATGTCTTGCAAGTATTATTTGTCCACGCTTACCTGTGACTGTATTTTGATCTCACACTAACATGTCTTACCATAAACACAAGGAACACGTGTTTTTTGGTTGTCAGTAAAGCATAAGAGATTTCTAGTTATTCATGTGAATTTTACTACAATGACTTTGCTTTGTAATTTATTTTTTTTTTAGTTGTCAAAGGATCTTTAACTGCCCTATGTCTGGTAGGCTTCCCCCACAAATTACATTAATGCACATGTCATGTGCTGTAATTAGGAATGTTTAATACAGAAGGTAAACATTTCAAAGTAAACTGTGAGAGAGCACTATGTCAGTATGTTTGGTATGGAAAGAGATGTTCCAACCTGTACAGAAAATAAGTAAGATGAAGCTATAGCAATCAGATATATGGTGAGAAGCAGCACAAAGCTACTTGCTCTTTGCACGTGTCCGTACGTACCTTGCAGGGTGACTATTTAACATGGTTATTCGTGAGAGGGAGTTGCCTGTGTAGGCCATACCAAGATCTGCTGTGCCAGTGGATGGAAATACACTGATGGAGTGATAGTGATAATCATATGCACTGTTTGGAGCTCAGAGCTTGTGTGAAATGCAGCTATATTTTGCAGTTCTAGTAAGATATTTGTTAATTTTAATTGCTTTTTGTGGGGGAGGGGGGGTGTTGTGTTTTGTTTGGGGTTTTTTGTTTTTGTGGTTTGTTTGTTTTGTTTTTGTTTTTTTTTTATTGAAAATACACTTATGTTTTCCCTACTCTATTGCAGATGGATAAGCAATGTTTTTTAAAATGTGTGTTTCACTGATCTGTAGTTGGGGAAATAAGGGCAGTTAGTGACAGAACAGGGGGAAACGGGTTTAAACTGAAAGAGGGTAGGTTTAGATTAGATATTAGGAAGAAGTTCTTCACTGTGAGGGTGGTCAGACACTGGCACAGGTTGCCCAAGGAAGTTGTGGATGGCCCCTCCCTGGAAGTGTTCAAGGCCAGTCTGGATGAGGCTTTGAGCAACCTGATCTAGTGGAAGGTGTCCCTGCTGATGGCAGGGGGGTTGGAACTGGATGATCTTTAAGGTCCCTTCCGATCCAAACCATTCTATGATTCTATGAAATGCCTGGCTGCAGGTTGCATGATGTTGGAATTATATTCAGGGAATGTATCACTACTTCGTTGCTTTCAGCTTATATATCTATATGTATATATATTCTTCCTCAAGTATGGAGTTTTAGTTACTGCTAAAACCACAGTACTAGGCCAGATGCATCTTTAGTTTTACCTCGTATGTCTGTTCCTATGTTTAGAGTAGCAAGTTAATGAAAATAAAAGAATTGGAATAGTTTTCTAGTGGCTTCAGTTTAAAAACTTTAATAGCAGGACCAGCTGTCCTGGAGTTTCTAGGACATTATGAATGGATCTAAGCCTGTTGCTGAACATAACTTTGTAGATGTTCATGCTGCAAGCTAGTGGCCATCACTTAATCCACGTTTACTTACCTGAAATTCTCTCGGTTCCCTTCCAAATGTAACTATTTTAATGACTCTTACTTTTTGGCTATAGATTTACTGGAACTTGCTGGATGTTTAACCATGCTCTAAACTGTTTGCAATAGTCATCCCTAGTTGGACTCTAGTGACTCCTGTGTGCAAAGTGTAATGGAACCCTTTTCTTTTGTAGAAATGTTACATTTGTAACTGCTGATTTGTAATGGTTGAGCAGAGAGACAAGCTTTACAACACAATAGAGTTATTTCGTCTTAACACCCCCCTCCCCCCAAAAAAAAACCCCCAACAAACCAAAACCAAACAAAGAAACAGCTTCACACAAATACCTTGATTTCCTGTGAACTTCAGAAAAGACAATAGGGTGTAAAAGTTGCTCTGCTTATACCAGGATAAAAGATTTCTTGCAGTTTCTAGGCTTGATGCATTCTTTGATTAGACTTAAGAGAACGTAAAAGTTTTTAAAGGGTCTTATTAAAATACTTAATGATACTTGCTGGTGAAGCCCCATGTTCTTTGCAGAATAACAGCTTCTAAAATAGCAGAGTAATGTTTTCTTTGTTCATTTCCTTAGGTTATTCCGAAGTTTATATCTTTGTTGCAACACAACAGAAAATGGTATGTAACTTGCTTTTTTGTGTGTGATTTGTGCTATAAAACTGTAATTGCAGTTATAAATACATGGTATAGTTTGCAAAAAGATAATTTCATAACTAAGTTATGAATTGCCTATTTTAATAATAGGATTTCTTTAAAAAATGAAAGGATTATTTGCATGTTGTTTACTTAAGGTACCTTCAGGTAACTGCTAACAGCAAAACTGCTTAAAACACAGACTAATAAATTGAATGCTTTTATTTAAGGATTAACAAAAATTTCTTGCCTTTTCGTGATTTTAAGCTGTATTCATGGTTCTGGACTTCAAAGAAGGAATTTCCTTTATGCAACTGATGTAGTAGAAGCATTCCTTACTGTCCTGAAGGAGGGGAAGCCAGGTGAAATTTATAACATTGGAACTAACTTTGAGATGTCCATTGCCCAGCTTGCTAAGGAGTTAATCCATTTAGTGAGTAAAGAGTTATGTTACTTTTCTTTACCAGTCATTGCACATACGAACAATTTTACTATAAACCTTCTGTAGCTACAAAAGAGAGAGCTTAGGCTTGTGGTGGGTCTTAGAAGATAATTTTAGCAGAAGTGTGTTACCTTTTCTGTGGCAGCTGTACAGTGTAAGTTTGCAGTACAGGCTATTGTGTGTTGCACTGCTCTATCAGTTATCCTCACTGGGACATAAATGGCATAATGATTAAATGCTATTTGGTAGGTTTTTTTCATGCTGTGTGCTTCAGTTTTGGTCTGAGAATGTGGCACTGTTAATATCTAACAATTTGATTATGTGTGGTTAGGCAGTGCTTGGATAAAGGAGAATTTCAGTAGTTTGAAAACTCAAACAAAAGACCATTTCTGTTTGTCTGTGTGGTGTTTTTTGGGTTTTTTTTTTTTTTTTCCAGACTTAAATCTTGACAAAATATCTATTTTTAAATGTATGGTAACACAATATAAGATGGGGAAAGGTGATTTTTGTTTTTTGTCTTGACAGATAAAAAAGACCAGTTCAGAATCTGAAATGGAGCACTGGATGGATTATGTCAAAGACAGGTAAGAAAATAGTGAAGCATATGCAGGATTGCTTTATTCTGAAGGTAATAGTAGTTTTGCCAAGTATTTTTTTTGTGAAAGAGTTTCTCCTCTGCAGGAGGAGACATCTAGGATCTGTACAGAAGACTTGGTAGAAAAACAGGACTTCCATTTGTATTTGGATTTTTAGGTCAGAGTATATGTCTTGAAGGGGGAATGTGTAGTGCTAATCTGTCTGTCTTCAAACTTTCTTCACACTTCCTACTACTGAAGTCTCCTCTGGGTAAAGGACAGGTTTTACACAGGAGCTTAATCTTTTCTTAAGGGTTGCTTAGGTAGTTTATTCAGTACTTTGTATTCAACATCACTTGAGTGGGATGAATTCCATCATCTCTCATTTAGCATTAGTATTTTGACATTAATGTGACTAGTTCAGATCTAGACGCGCTTTATAGGTGGGATCTGCTCTCCACAGGCAGAGTGTGGTTCATTTGGGATTCCTACTTTAAGCTGAAACTGCTATCGCAGAAGTAGATGTAGAACTGTGAGGTGCCGAAGTGAGGGCGGTGGCAAAAATGGAAAATAGCTTTATAAATGCACTCCTGCTCTGTGCTTCCGTCCTTAATTTCAGGCTTGGTTTGGCTCTGTTCTTTTATCTCCATTTCTTTTCTGCAGCAACAATGAGTCTCTGCTTACTTTAGATATCACTTTCTTTCTCCAGAGTGATTAGAAATGACATATCTGCTGATAGCAGTTAAGTGTTTTTATGACCTTTAGAATTTTCACTTTCTGTTCACATTTGGATTGTTATCATGGCAACTGAAGTGTCTTTAAATGTGCTAATATTTGTTTTTAAAAGGAAGTCTTCTTCAGAATCCTATCTGAGTGTATTGCAGAACTTTGAACAAATTGCCTTTGGCTCACATGATGTGAGTGTTCAGTAGGTCTCTGTAATTCAGATTGAGATGTTTCTTCATGTGTATTGGGCCCTGACTGCTAATGTTTAAACATGAATGGGCTTGGGAAAACTAACCACATAGGAATACGTTTCAAAGAATACTGAGGCCTTATAAAAGATTCTTAAGATACCTACCTAATGATTATTTAATTCTATAATGAGCGACTTAAAGGTCATGGGGGTTGCTTGCCATGGAAAAATTAGTTCTGCTTGTGCTTGAGATTAGCATGTTTCAATAATGGTGATAAGTAGCTGGTTTCTATCTGCACGTGTATCTTAACTATTGAGTATGGGAGTGCCAGGACTGCTGGAATGCTGAACTGGACTGCCTGACTGCCAGACTGTGGAAGTGAAAATTTGTGCTCTGCTTGACTGTAGGGAATTTCTTTCTGTGTTGAATCTTGCAGCCTGGGATTCTACATATCAGAATCATTGAATTTGTGTAGCTAATGAGACGCTGTAATGACGATGCTTTGGAAGTCTATGTATTTCAAATCTGAAATATGTGAAAAATGTGAATGCTGATGTTGGAAAACACTGGTTTGCGTAGTGACTGTCTGAAGAGCTGCAAATACACTGATTTGCACAATTGCTTTGGCAGTGATTTGAGTTTTGTGTTCATTTTTGTGCCAATAAGATATTAATTCATGTTTATTCTAGTCCATTCCAAGTAGCTGACTGTACAGACTGAATTGTGGTGTTGTAGCTGCACTCAACTGCTTTGTATTTTTTGAAGGCAATATAATCTGTTCATGTTGATGGGAATTTTCAAAATGGAAGCATACCTAGAGTTGGTTTGAAGACAGTGTGAGGTACTGCATCGCTAATTACTGAAAAAATCTAATCAGATTGTTTTCCATGTGCATTTTATACTTCCTCAGACCTACCAATGACCTGAGATACCCAATGAACTCGGAAAAAATGCACAATTTAGGATGGAGACCTAAAGTGCCTTGGAAAGAAGGAATAAAGAAAACAAGTAGGACTGATCCCTTTTATACTAATTGATTTAGAAGTGATGGGAGAAGGGAAAGGGGGGAGAATAGGTATATAGAATAGTTAATGAGAAGCTAAAGGGAATGAATTTAGCACTGTAACTTTAGATAAAACTGACTGCTTTTTAAGTGGTGAATTTACCTGATTAAGAAAAAAAAAAAAGGTTAATCACAAAGTACTATAATGAATTACTTTTTATACTAGAATAAGTCTTGCATAAAGTATTTATAAAATCTAAACTAGATTTTAAAAAATATTTTATATTAATTTTTTGTGTAATTAACTATTAGCATATTGTTAGTCTTATGATATGTGTGGAATATTTGAATTTCCCTGTTATCTCTGGTCAACTTGACTTACCAACATTCTCTTCATACTAGTTGAATGGTACAAAGAAAACTTTCACAACTGGGAAAACTCAGAGGCAGCTCTGGAGCCCTTTCCTGTGACAGAGCCATTTGCACAGCTCAGTGGTCCATAGGGTGGCAGAGAACCTGAAGGAGTTTATTCTACCTCATATGGTCTTTTCTTCAAAGCTTGCGATGAAGTGGCCACACTGAACTCTTAATGTATTCAAGATACATGAACCATGGATACAGTGCAGCGCAACTTTGGAGGGGTTTCAGCACTTTATAACTTCAACCTGTTAATTTCAGCTTTTGGTGCAATACTATATTCTCACTAGGTATTGATTTTTAAAGAACTGTATAGGGTGAAGAATATTTATAATGCCATAAATGAGTGTAACTGGTGTAAAATCTGCCTTATTAATTTAGAATAATTAATTGCCATTATAACATTTGTGACTTTCATTGAAATTTGTTTTAGTTCGGGAATTGTTCATCTGTCTTAGTCTGTTCTTACAGTGTAATTATTATTTTTGTCACTTCAAAGAATTGGTTTTTACTTTTAATCAAGAGGAAAACTGCTTTGTTTTCTGGAGGGTATAAATCAGTTGATAGAAGCTAGATACGGCACTCATGGTTCAGTCCTTTTCTCTCTTGGTGCACTATTACCTTCTGTAGATGCCTGATTAAACTGTTATCTACTCTGTAGCTTTAAAGGCCCATTTTTAAGAGGACTGTTGGGGGGAAGTGTCAAGAAGTAGCAAGTGTTCTCACTGAGATTTCCAGAAGCATTTTCCTAAACTTTGTTCTGTTTTAGATGTTAGTCTTTTTACTGTATTACTGTCTTTTACATGTTAACTTCCTTTTCTTCGTTAACTGCAACAAACTTGAAATGTTGTTTAACACAGTTAACATTCCAGTGATGTTATTTCACATGAAGGTTATTTATGGAGACAATTTTTCAACACTTCCTGTGAATTGTGGGTTGTAACACCTTATTCAATGCAGTGCTTCAGAATTTTTTTTTTGTGACAAACATTTTAAAGATGAAACAATATTTGAGTTTTAATGTAAAGTTTGGGAGGAAACCTTAGTTCTATAATTATGTCAATGAGTCTTTTTCAAAGTTGATTTATTAATAAAAGTTACAGTGTAACTGGTTTCTCTTAAGTAAACAAGTTTTTTAAAAAAAACTAGTCTGTTTTTTTATATGTTTAATTTTTTTATGATACAGGAAGAACTATCTTTGCTTTTTTGGCTTTGAGGTGGCAAACACAGAAGGGAAAACTCTTCTTCGTTTTATCACTTTAGCTTTAATACTTGGCACAGTCCTTGACCCTCCTCTTGCCCCTGCGTAGAGCAGCCTCGCCAGTGCTGAGTACAGGGGTAAGATAACTTCCCTGGTCCTGCTGGCCACACTATTTCTGATACAGGCCAAGATGCCATTGGCCTTCTTGGCCACCTGGGCACTCTGCTGGCTCATGTTCAGCTGGCTGCCAACCAACACCCCCAGGCCCTTTTCTGCCAGGCAGCTTTCCAGCCACTCTTCTCCAAACCTGTAGTGTTGCCTGGGGTTGTTGTGACCCAAGTGCAGGACCCGGCACTTGACCTTGTTGAAGCTCATAGAGTTGGTTGCAGCCCATTGATCCAGCCTGTCCAGATCAATGTGCAGGGAGTTACTTATTCATCTCACTGTTTTGTATTTTACCGAAGTCAGTACTAAAATAGCTGAAGTACTGCAAAGATCTGTTTTAGCTGTGGTTATGCTTTCTGTGGCAGCTCTTCTCTGGGTGAGCTGCATGAAAGTATGTTTCACATCTGTTTATGCTGGAATACTAGTAATGTGATGTGTCTTTAAGTTTAGGAATAGATATTATAGATTATGGTTTACTAAATTATTCTTAATCTTACAAATAGCTACAGTGTCTTTGAAACATTACAAATCAATTGTGATAATGTTATCAGATCAGAATTATACAGAAAGAAGCCGTAGTGTGTGATTGGTTTATTGAATAGATCTTTTGAAAGTTGTTTTGAACGTTTAGCTGCTGAAGATGCAAACTTTGACAGTTGTGTGACTGTCCAAACAAGTGATACTACTTGGAGTGGATTTTTCAGAAAGATCTATTAAATTTTAGTGGAAGCTGTTCTGGTTTAAATGTTTTTGAAGATTTAATCCTTCAAAGTGTTTGAGATTTTTGGCTTGGTCTTCCTAATTTTATTTTTATTTTTTTAGTATATATAGCAATAACTATATACATGCACATTAAAAAAATAAAAATAATTAATCTAGGAGGCTTTTGCTTTGAGCTGCCTTGATGCTGTAGATCAGGTTGCCTTAGCAGGTGAGTGCTCTGGAAGGAGCATTCCTTTTGCAGGGAAAAAATCTTTTTACTGTTAAAGAAAACAGCTTGTTTTGCCATTAACCTTCTGGCTTCTGCAGGAAGAAAAGAACAAAGGATCAGCTAGTGAACTGTTGGTGTGGAGAAGTGTAATGCTTTTAGGTTTTGTATCTGTTTTCACGTGGAAGGTACAGAGACACGTTTCTGCAGAAGGCAAAGATAGGGATGTAAAATACTGCGAACACAGCAATCTTTCAGTCCACTTTTCTCAAGGTTTGTGTCACAGAACAAATTGAGGTGACACCCGTAAGACAGTTGCATGGAATAAATGTGTATGTCACTTAAATGACTAAAGCTTCTCAAGGAGAAGGGCTGCCCTTTGGCAAAGGGTGTCTATCCAGGTTCCATCATGGAGAAGAGGCTCACACTTGAGAAATCACTAGGGGACAGCTCTTTGTTCTGCATCTCTCTTGGGGGGGTTACTGTTGTGGGTTGGATCAGATCTTCAGGAAGCATCTTCTGAAATACCATGTGCATTGGAAACAACCAACATTGCTACCACATTATTTTGGCCTACGCAGCCTGCTGTTCAGCGCAGCCCTTGCTAGCAGCGAGGGAAAGAATTTGGAAGATGGTGAAGTGGACAACTGAGGCAGGGCTGTCTGCACCCCACCTGCCCTGCAGATCATGGCTGGTGGGGCCTTTGTGTATTGGTCCTTGCTTTCTCCAAGGCTTTCTCTGGTCTAACCTTGGCACCTGCTTGCTTCCACTGGTATGCTACTTAGCATTAGGGGTGTCAGCTGTGGTTGAAACAGGTTTACATTGTCATAATATGCCTAGAAAACAGCTTTTATTTGTCCACTGTGTCCTTTACTAAATCACGGAATCGTTAAGGTTGGAAAAGGCCTCTAAGATCATCCAGTCCAGCTGTCAATTCATGACCACCATGCCCACTAAACCATATCCCCAAGTGTTATGTCTACACGTTTCTTGAATACCTCCACTAATGGTGACTGCCACTTCCCTGGGCAGCCTATTCCAATGTCTGACCGCTCTTTTGGAGAAGTATTTTTTCCTAATATCCAACCTGAACCTCCCCTTGTGTAAAATGAGGCCATTACCTCTTGTCCTATTGCTGGTTGCCTGGGAGAAGAGACCAACACCCACCTTGCTACATACACCCTCCTTTCAGGTGGTTGTAGAGAGTGATAAGGTCTCCCCTCAGCCTCCTTTTTTCCAGGCTAAACAACCCCAGCTGCTCCTCGTAGGACTTGTTCTCCAGCCCCTTCACCAGCTTTGTTGCCCTTCTCTGGACACGCTCCAGTGCCTCAATGTCCTTCTTGTAGTGAGGGGCCTAAAACTGGGCACGCTATTCAAGGTGCAGCCTCACCAGTGCCAAGCACAGGGGCACAATCACTTCCCTGGTCCTGCTGGCCACACTATTCCTGATACAGGCCAGGATGCTCTTGGCCTTGGCCACCTGGGCACACTGCTGGCTCATGTTCCGCCGACTGTCAACCAACACCCCCAGGTCCTTTTCCACTGTGCAGCTTTCCAGCCATTCTCCCCCAAGCCTGTAAATGTATGAGGAAGATTATGGGTGAAAAAAATTAAAAAGTGAGTTGTTTTTTTTTTTTTTCTCCCCAATCCCTGTTCTGGAGGAGTACAAAATAGCACAAATTCAGTTTCCTATGAGGAGAAAGTTGTGAATAACTTCAGCTGGACTCAGAATGCTCCATTTTGCTAAAACTGTGTTCTTATGCTCTTAAAATAGCCATGAAATGCTAATGTGTTTCTACTTCTCAGCAAGAGGAACTTTGATACAAAAAATAAATTTTGTTGGGGGAAAAAGTGGCAGTTTTATTAAATGTACTATATCTGAGACTGTATTGTCCTTTTGGTTTTGTTTTGTTTTGTTTTGCATTCCCTTTAGTTTTTATTTCCATTGCCGTTTCCATTTCACCTGGCAAAAATTTATTAAAATTATAAAGATTGGAATAACCTGTTGGTCCATAGTAGCTCTGATTTGTGTGGTGAAGTCAATAGTGTTTTGACTTCTATGCGTGTCATCACACATTTGGAGTTTATCGACACCAAAGATCACAAGATTATGTTAGCTGCATCAGTAGGAGACACGCTCGTTAAGTGATTACTTCCATCATTTCTCAGCAAAGCAATTGTTGCCAGTGGCAATGGAAAATCATGAGAAGATGAGATTTTGTATCAGTGTGTTAGCACCCTTCTTTAGTACAATGGTATGTTTTGGTTTTGATTTTTTTTTTGCCCTTCAGAGCTGTCTCCCAAGGAACTCTCTCAACCAGTGTCCTGAACAGATCGAAGTCTGCCCTCCGGAAGCCCATGGCAGTTGTTTTGCTGACCACCCTCCTTACTTCACCAAGGACTGAGAATCCTATCATTTCACATTCGCTAAGCTCAAGCCAGACTCTGACCACCACATCTCCCACCAGTCCTTCTCTGTTGGTAAACAGCAGCTCAAGTGAGGCACCTCCCCTGGTGGGCTCACTTACCAGCTGTGTCAGGACGTTATCCTCCACACACCCCAGGAACCTCCTAGACTGTTTCTGCTGTGTTGTATTTTCAGCAGATGTTCGGTAAGTTGAAGTCCCCCATGAGAACAAGGGCTAGTGATTGTGAGACTTCTGCCAGCTGCTTGTAGAATGCCTCATCTGCCTCTTCACCCTGGTTGGGTGGTCTATGACAGACTCCCACCAGGACATCTGCCTTGTTAGCCTTCCCCCTTATCCTTACCCATAAGCATTCCACCTTATCATCACAATCATCCAGCTCTGTGCAATCAAAACACTCCCTAACATACAGGGCTACCCCACCGCCTCCCCTTCCTCTCCTGTCCCTTCTCTTACAGCCATCCATTGCAGCACTCCAGTCATGAGAGTCATCCCACCATGTTTCTGTGATGGTGACCAAGTCGTAACTGTCCTGCTGCACAATGGCTCCCAGCTCCTTCTGTTTGCTGCCCAAGCTGTGGGCATTGGTGTAGATGCACTTGAGC